ATTGATGCAAGCACCCAATGAGAAAAAGGCTCTTTGCAGCACACTCTTTGTTCGATCATCAACCGATGTAAATGTATGTAGGTCATAGTAAGTATTATTATTCCTCTGGGCAATGGTGGCTAACAAACGAGGCAAATTATCATAAGAAGCTTCAAATGTGCCATACCTCATCTCAATAATCTTTTGTTTGGCTCTCCAGGCCTTTGCATAGCTTATGGTGTACTTGAATTTGTTCTCGATGTGCCTAATAATTGATTTTGGTTCAAAGCCAATGTTACCAACAACACTGCTGTACATCTCACTTGCCACAAAAGCTGAAGTGATGTTTCGGTGATACTTCTCCACCCCTTGTAAGTAGCACTTGTGCTCGGTCACAATGCTAACTTTCCAATAATCATTCCATTTACCCTTATATGCATGGACACGCCACGGACAATCTTCCTTCATGCACCTCACTTCATACACATAATTTGTTGACTTGACCACCCTAAACTCTCTATGCAAGGAAACTGCCCAATGCTTCACCGCCTCCTTCATCTCATCCTTATGAGCATACCTTGCACCCTCAATTACCTCGTTCTCCTTATACTCCCAGGGTACATGATCACCCTCTGATATAACAAGTTCAGAGAAGTCCTCATTTGCCCAATCAGTGGCCATTACATCACCTTCCTCATCGGATGATGTGTCGTCGTCCGCTTCCTCATTATCCGAATCTTCCCTCTCCATTTCATCAACAATTATACCGACTCTCTCCCCCTCATCCGCCATGCCCATGGCTTGCTCCTCCCTTGGTTGATTTTCCTCATTTTGCATCGATGGTCCAACAACATCCCCTGCATTGATAGGACCCTCTACATTTTCGGTTTGCATTGAAACATTTATATCTTTCTCTTGTACCGACACAAATATAACGAGGGGCCATGACCGTTCAAAAGCCATTTCCACATACCGTCTCCAAGCAGCAGTGCTGTCCATCGGCATTAGTTCCCAAAAATAACCTTCTGTTGCACGACTCACTACAACTGATACTGACATTGTGTAGACTTCTTGGTCTATTCTAAATCCTCTCAACAACCAACTATAAATTGACTGAAATGTTCTCTCCGCAGGCCTATCGATGCCCTTAGATGTCATTACAAAATCTGACAGATCAACACTATCTGGACCAAATCTAATATTTCCTTCACCGTGAACTATCTGAAATGTGACCTTATTTGACATTGTGCCTGATGAAAACAATAACTACGTTAACCTCGCATTTCTGTACTACGCCCTAAGTTACATTCTCTACAATATTGTTCTCCAAAATTCTAAAAGTAGGTTACATTCTCCAGATCAAACTAAACTACATCTTACAATTAACACTACTGTCTATGTCTCAATTCATACTATTATATTCTATGCTCTGGATCTACACATATGTGCTGTGTGCTACAGATCTGCTAAAATATATGGAACTAAAACTAAAACGCAACATATATACTCAAACATAACATATTAGTGCAAATGCAAAAGATGTATGGGAGCAAACCTGTGATGAAGTGAGCGAACCAGCAGGGCTTCGCCGCTCCCCTTCTGCTGCCCTCCCCTCTCTCTCTTTCGTTTTTTTTTGGATTTTTACTGAATATAATGAAATTTCAGAGAGAGGGCTGGGCTTTATAGGGGGGAGGCAAAAATCGCCCTCCCCCAGGGCGGCAAGGGGGCCGCCTGCAAAATTCCAGGACCCCCGCTGCCCATTTGCAGGCGGCCCTCCGCACAGTACAAAATCGCCCTAGCGGAGGGCGGCAAGGGGGCCGCCTGCAAATTTCGTTGACGGCCGTCGCCCGAGAGCGAACGGCCGTCTGCCACGTCACTTTCGCCGCCCTCTGGGATGGCGATTTTTAAAAATCGCCCTCCCAGAGGGCGGTAGGCGACTACTTCTGTCAATTTTCAAAATGAAAAATTATTTTTGTAAAACTTTTAATAAAAAAAATTAAAAATAAAAAAAATTCTTATAAATTCTAGGGTATTTTACTGCATATAAAATTATTTTAGATGTTTCATCTCACTTGAAAGATTCGTTTAAAAAAAATGGATACTTAGTACTTGGAAAATATATTTCACCGCTTGATAAAAAAAAATATTTTATGCGGATGCAACATTAGAAAAAAAGATGACCAGTATATACATTACAAGAACTTTACATATGTTGTATCGGTCATGCGATATCTTATCATTAATTTTTAATTACTATAAATATAACTAGCATGGTGGCCCGCGTAGATTGCGCGGCTAGTATCATTATATTTTCTCTCATATAATAGCATATATGTTTTTTTCATTATATTATTCAAATATATTAAAATGACAATATAATTTTAAATTTTGCAATAACTTTACAAAACTACTAATGTGTAATATTTATATTGTATTTTATATACGTGTTAGTTATTAATTATTTTTAATATCAAATTTTAGTTATTTGTAAATTATATATATTCCTATATGGACTCTAGACTCATCTTTTAATATTTCTTTTTTTTTAATTTCGAATTTTCTGTAAATTGTATTTCTACATAGACTCTATGTTTTTCTTCCAATATTATTTATTTTTATTTCTGAATTTTTATTATTTCTAATTGTATTTCTATGTGGACTCTAAACTCATCTTTCAATATTCTTTAATTTTTAATTTCGAATTTCAGTTACTTCTAAATTATATTCCTATATTGACTTTAAACTCTTCTTCCCATGTTTTTCTTAATTTCGAATTTTAGTTATTTGTAAATTGTATTTTTATACGGACTCTAAACTCTACTTTAAATTTTATTATATTTATTTCAAATTTAGTTAGTTTTAAATTCCTATATGGACTCTATACTCTACTTCTAATATTCCTTATTTTTTAATTTTGAATTTCTACTTTTTTTTCTTAATTGTATTTCTACTAGCAAAAGTGCCCGTGCGTTGCACCGGGTGATTACAGAGTGTGTATATTGACCAAAAGTGTTGTTTGGTTTAGCAAAAGTGCCCGTGCGTTGCACCGGGAAGTTTACAGATCAGAAAAATATGCAATTAATTAAAATACAAATTCGCTGAAATATTTGGTATTTTTAAGTAGGTATGTGTATAATTAAATAAATTTACAAGTAAAATTCTCCATTCTCCATGGTTAAATAAAATGACATGGTTAAATATAATTTTATTAAATTCACCATAATTAGTTACGCTCTTTGGAATTTTATTGGAATTTTCAGAGCTTAATTGCTAATTTTATTAATACAAACATCATTTAACAATTATTTAATTGGAAAAAGAGAGAAAATACTTTCTTATAGGTTTGCTTCGAAATAAACATATTCAATAGAACTATAATTGTAATGCTTCTGAAAAAATGAGCACTAAAAATGTACTTATTCTCTTTTTTTCGGCTCGAGGGACCAACAATAGACTTATTTCCGACCCATGCCGGTCGGCCCACGGCCTTTTGCGCATGCACGGGCGCACTTTTCCTCCCCCAGGCCGCAACCTGGGCTTGGGCCGAAAAAGAGGCCTCACTCTCGATCCCTCTTGGGCCGATTTCGGCCCGGACGACACCGGCCGTCCGATCTCTAGGGTTTTGATCGAACGGCCGAGCGTCAATAGTGGGGAAACAAAACCCACTCCCTCTCAGCCGCGGAACCCTAGCCCATTTCCCTCCCTCCCATCTCACTTCGCCGCCCTCTCCTCCGCGCCCCCGAGTGGCGGCGGCGACGACGGCGCCCCTCCCCCACCACCGATGGCGGCGGCGGCGGCACCCCCACCACCCACGGCGGCATCGGCGGCATCCTCCCCCACCACCGGCGGCGGATCTAGCGGGAGGGGAGGCGCCCCGCGAGCGGCGGCGACGGCGACGGCGCCCCTCCTCCCGCGAGCGGCGGCGGCAGCACCCTCCCCCACCACCGGCGGCGGATCTAGCGGGTGGGGAGGCGCCCCGCGAGCGGCGACGACGGCGGTGGAGTCCTCCCCCACCACCGACGGTGGCGGCGGCGCTCTCCCCCACCACCGGAGAGTGCCCTCCGCCGCCGCCGCCGGCGGATCTAGCGGGAGGGGAGGCGGCGGCGGCGGTGCTCTCCCCTCCACCGGATCCACAGCGACGGCGACGGCGGCAGCGGCGGCGACCCCCTTCGATCTAATTTTTTGTTTTTATTTGGATATATGTGTGTACATGCATCATGATTTGTGCGATTGAGCTCCGATTGTGATTGTGATTTTTTTTCTGGGGTTTGATTGGATTCGGATTGGGATTTTGGGGGAGGGGGGCGACGAAGCGGGACGAAAAACCGGTGTGACGACCGGACGGACGAAAAAACCTCACGGAAGCCTTACGAATTTTTTTATTAGATATAGATATGGACTCTATACTCTACTTCTAATATTCCTTATTTTTAATTCCGAATTTTTATTATTTCCTAATTGTACTCTACTTCTAATATTCCTTATTTTTAAATTCTGAATTTCTATTATTTCCTAATTGTATTCTACATGTACTCTATACTCTGCTTCTAATATTCCTTATTTTTAATTCCGAATTTCAGTTATTTCCTAATTGTATTTCTATATGGACTCTAGTCTCCTCTTCTAATATTCCTTATTTTTTAATTCCGAATTTCAACTATTTCTAAATTATATTTCTATATGTACTCTAGTCTCCTCTTCTAATATTCCTTATTTTTTAATTCCGAATTTCAGCTGTTTCTAAATTATATTTCTATATGGATTCTGCCTTTTCTTTTTCTCCGATTAATGTGAGAATTTCTAGGCAATGACAACGAACGTGGAGGCTCCTTTTTATATTCATTTAATAATATATATATTCTCTATTTCTAATATTCTATATTTTTAATTCCGAATTTCAGTTATTTCCTAATTGTATCCTATATACCTATACAAGTCATCCCCACTAACTCAATTTCATGCGCTGTGGTTCATCCACGTCATCCAATTCAATGACAGCCGTTGGATCAAAACCTGGTTGTCTGGATCATGGTGAGCGAAGTCCAAATCTCAATGGTGTGAACTACAAAGCCCATATACGTGAGCCCAACAGGCAGCGGCCCATCCTTTCCCTAGGAGAGAAGCATCTGTCGATCTCAATTTTCCTCCCACACCCTAGCCTGTTCGGTCTCTCGGTCTCGGTCTTCCCCACGGAACGCGCCGCCCGTCGTCGCCTGCGCTCCTCTCGCGCAGCGTCACTGCCCGGCATGGCGCCTCAGCACCACCCTCTACCCCCAGCCGTTTCCAGCGGAAAAGACGCCCGCGTGCCGTCCCCGTCCCTCCCCCTCCCCCGAGCAAGGGAATCAACCAGAAGCACTGCCTCGGTCTGTTTCATCTCTTTGGTTGCCATGAAGACATTAACTTTATGTTCCTGTAACGTAAAGGCAAAATCATCATCGTGCATAAAATCTCTCATGCTTCTGTTTACCTTGCATCTTCCATAGCCATGAGTCGTGCGTCATCTATCCCCTTCCGGTTGCATCTGCAAGCTAACCAGGTGCCATTTTCTTCTTCCCATCCTCCTTGCTTGCCTTCTCTAATCTTGGTTTTCTTCATAATGCAGTATTATACTTGTGAAATTTTTGTTCCCCCATCCTCCTTTTCTTATTTGTATATCTCCTTCATCTGTCCTCCCTTTTAATTTAAATCATAATTGCTTCTTGCCTTTTTTTTAAATCTTGGTTTTCTTCATATCGTAGGACTATACCTGTGAAATTTTGTTAGCATTCTCCCTCTATGTTCCGTGTACATTTTGATTTGGCTACCTGTGTGGGGGAGGTCAAGGTAAATTCTAATGGCTAATTTTATTGCAGGTGTAAGAATCATCCCTATATATGAAAGGTTGTGCTGTTCTAGAGCATTCGATAAAGTAATTCATTACTCCAGGGTGGTTTCATCCATATGTATTGATGAAATTGCAAAGCTGCCATCATTATTTTACTGCATATATTCAGTTAGCTAGAGATTTTGTAAAATAATTCCTTATATGTCTTTGATACTTATATTTTGTGAATTGAACCTTTCATCGCCATGATCTATTTGGTGCAAGTTGTTTTTTCTATAATAAAAGTCTAAAACTTTTATTGTTTCAGTTCATCACCAGACGATTAGATGGAAGGAATAAATCGAAGCCGGTCTCTTGCTCTTCAGACTTACATTTGATGGAACTATGGAAGGGCTTTATTATCTTACATGATCTTGCTGGTATGTAAATGTGTGTTTTCTCAATGTTTATAGCAACTGCAAGGGCCATCAGCATTTGGTCTCATGAAGCTCACTCATGGAGCCATGGTATGGATTGACATCTGTTTATCCAAACAATTCGAGTGATTATGGCTTTACCTAAGCAACGTGTTGTCTACCAAATTAGTGAGGTGCATTTTTATTTCCTTCCTGCCATGTGGTTTAGTTTATGAACAATATAACTTCCTGTCAACTTATGGGTGACCATGTTATTTTTTTTTTGCGAGGAAAACATGAAGCTTTATTAAACTGTAGAATCATCGCGAGCCAGAAGTTCGAAGACACACTCCAGGGCCTGTAAGTGCCACACTACAGACTCCTTAGTACGCAACGCTAGATGAGCGAGGTTATGTTCTCAACATGTAGAATTACTTAAGTTCATTGTTTTTTTAAAAAAAAAACAAAAATGTTTCCTAATCCTACAATATGTTAATTATTCTCAAAGGTCCCGCAGTAACGCGCGGGGTACACCATCTAGTTTCTATATGGACTATATACTCTACTTCTAATATTCCTTATTTTTAATTCCGAGTTTATGTTATTTCCTAATTGTATTTCTATATGGACTCTAGTCTCCTCTTCTAATATTTCTTATTTTTTAATTCTGAATTTCACCTATTTCTAAATTGTATTTCGATATGGACTTTAGTCTCCTCTTCTAATATTCCTTATTTTTTAATTTCGAATTTCAGCTATTTCTAAATTGTATTTCTATATGGACTATATTTTTTCTTTTTCTTCGATTAATGTGAGAATTTCTAGGCCATGAGAGCGAACGTGGAGGCTCTTTTTTCTATTCCATTAATAATATAATAGATAGATGGTGTAATTGGATAAAAATTAGATAAGTATTTTAAGAGAAAAATATATATATATTAGTGATAAATCTAGTGCATGAACATGTAAAACGGTTATTTTGGTGCATGTACTTATCTAGTGCATGTGAACTAAAAGCAAAATAGCACTGCAAGGTTAATCTTGCTGATTTGAATGCTCTGTAAACATATGGAGTAGCTCACAAGGATATCACCTAGACAAAGATCTATCAATTAAACATGAAGTAAGGTATAATCATTGCATAATGAAAGAAATAGAAAATTCGAATAATGATGTAAGAGGTAGAAACAAAGAAAGATAAAGCAAAAAGCAAAAAGTTTACAAATATAGCCTTTCGCGCTTAAGTCGTGTGCTAATTTATGATGTTTAACTTAGTATAAACTGTTCTTTGTCGTGACATTTAGGCTTTGTTTATATGCACCAGCCTTCATGTATCAAAACAAGCGTTCATGCACTAAATTTTATCCACATAACAAAATTTGTAACGCTAATGCAATTTAGTCAAACTCAATACTGAACAGAGTGAGTAATCAGCAAATTTCAAAAGTTTGAACGAACCGAAAACATCTATGGAGAGTAATTACTCCATTATAAGTACTATAATTAAGTTCCCTCAAAAGATAAGTACTACAATTATATAAATACGAACCACTCCGATAATTTATAGCTAGTTGGAGTAATCACAGCTAAGCAATGGATTGCTTGGACATGATGCTGTCTTCCACGAACGCCCTGATTTCACCGACGAGCTTCCGGATGTCGCCGGCGAACTCCGGGAAGAAGTAGAAGGCGTGTATGGCCTCCGGGAACTCCACCACCCGCACCGCCTTCCCCTTCCGCCGCAGCATGCCGGCGTACCTCCGGTCCCAGTCTTGCAGCGGGTCGAGGCCCCCGACGACCACCATCGCCGGCGGGAACGCTTCTTGCAGCTCGGGCTCCGGCCCCGCGTCGCCGGTGACGTGCGCCGCCGGGTGGTTCCGGTCGGCCCCCTCCGGCAAGAACGCCCTCCACCACCGGTCCGACCGCCGGATGTTCACCACCGGCGCCACGCCCTCCAGCGCGCGCTCTGCCTTGGTCCGCTCCTCGCCGCCGAAGTACGGCTCCAGGAGTATCACACCGGCGAGGTGGACGGGGTTGTCTGACGGAGGCGGCGGAGTCGCCGCCGACGTCGTCGTCCAGCGCTGGGCCACGTGGTGCGCGATGTTGCCGCCGGCGCTGTCTCCCGCGAGGAAGCAGGCGGAGAGGTCCACGGGGACGCCGTGCTCGTCGCGGAGGCCGGTGGTGGCGAGGTAGCGGAGGACGGCCTCCCCGTCGTCGTACGCGGCGGGGAACCGGTGCTCGGGGGCGAGGCGGTAGTCGACGGAGACGACGACGGCGCCGACCCCGGCGCAGAGCGTGCGGCAGTGGGTGTCGAACGGGCGGGAGGCCGCCGAGAACATCGCGAAGCCGCCGCCGTGGAAGTAGACGATGACGGGGCGCGGCGTCGTCGTCGACGACGACGAGGAGTGCTCGTGCTCCGGCGCGGTAGGGGTGAAGACGCGCGCCCAGAGGCCGCGGGACGCGTCGACGGTGACGTCCGTGGAGCTCACGCCGGCGGCGTCCGGCCGCGGGTCGGCGGGCGCCCGCCGGTCGTACAGGGAGAAGAGAGGACGGTTGATGGCGCCGTCCCGGCGCTGCGTCGCGTCGATGGCGGCCTCGAGGAGGCAGAGCCGGAGGCGCACCGCGCACGGCAGGGCCACCCGCCGGCGGTGACCGTGCGCATCGGCCATTTCTTGGCTGCCTGCTCTACTGACTCCGACTCGCTACAATACTGAAGCACTGAGTACGCTGCACCTGCACATGTCACATGTGTCTTTGGATGTTCAGGTAGGCACAAGATTCAGAAAAGTTCAGAGAGTCGCTGCAGATGTTGTCCTGCAGTGCTACTCCACAGTGACAGAAGTGCTAAGAGACGAATGATGTGAAATCGATTTGGTGATTGAGGCGATGATAGAGATGACGTGCAGATCGACATCCTGAAGATAACGCAGACGCTAGCTACGGCCCATGTGCTCACGCCGTACGACTGCTGTGACAAGTGTGCAACGCATATGAGGCTGCAATCATCTAAAAAAAATCGAGGGTGGAATTTGTTTCTATGCTTATCACATGTAATTCACATCTGTCTCACTTTGTTTTCTTGGCAATTTCAGGAATTTCTTGGTTGTCCTTTCGAATAAAATTTCAGGGTACATCTTGACTGAAGTAGGGAAAAGTGATTTTTTTTTTTGCCCACCAAATTCCATTGGATTAAGGACTCATTCAGTTTTAAAAAATATCTAAAGGATTATTGTAGAAATTGAAATCATAGGATTAGAAAAAGTCTGAATTACTCCTCTAAACTACAAAAGCACACAATTGACACCCCAATTCTTCAATATGGATGAATTACCCCCTAACCTAATCTAGAAGAAAAAGTACAAATTACCCCCTCCCACGGAACTAGCACATTGTCTGAATTATCCCTCTAAACCCCTAAATTACCTCAACTATTTAAACCAAACAAATACACCCCCTCCCCCATCATTTCATTGTGATTTTGCAGGCTGTGAACTCACCAGGCAATGGTGATGCTAGAGGAGGCGAGGTGCTCGCCAGCCACATTACCGATTGTCGCCTTCCAAACGATCTCGGCTCTATCACCTCTACACTGCTGGCACTGGGCAGAACAGAGCGGTGGAGCACAAGGTGGCAGAGGAGCAACTTTGGCCGCACGGGCAATTGGGAGGAGGTGCTTCGGGCGACATGATCTACATGCACCATGGAGGAGAACTAGATGAGATGAAATGTATTAGAGTTTGTGTCGAATATGTATGCGTAGTCGATTACAGTTTAGGACTTGGAGTTGTAATATGTATTAGGACTAGAGTAAGATCAGACTCTATCCTAGGATCTCTCTTAAATAGAGGGGCAGACCTATTGTAACCACATGGTGACATAGCATAGCGAGAGGGAACGGCTGCCGGCGGCGACTGGCCGTGAGTCGTTGTAACTCTAATACGCTGTATATGCTGGATCGGGGAGGAGCACCCGTAATCGGTGCCCCGGAGATATAGGTTTTGGCTGAACTCCGTTATCAAATATCGTGCCTCACTGTCGTCATCGTGTTTGGATCTCCTATGGCGTTTCTTCCACGTTTAGCTACTGATGTCGATTTCGAGGCTAGTTTTATAACAAAATGGGTACTAACTACTAACTAGTGGGGCCCACTATTTTATTTATTTGACACGCTAGAAAATGCCATGTCAGCTGATCCTGCCCAAAACCACACAAAACAGTGATTAGGGGGTAATTCGTTCATGCTAAAGAGTTAGGGTGTCAAATGTTTGGTTTTATAGTTTAACGGATTATAGTCTTACAACCTTATTTCATTGAATATTTAGCATAATGTAAGAGCTCTTGGAAATTTTGATAAGGATTGAAGTGCAAGTGGCATTCTAATCCTTTACTTTTTCTATTCATATAATTTACAGATCCTTTGAACCAAGCATGCAAGTTCCTATACACCAATTTCATAGGAAACTAGACAATGAGCTCAAACTTCTTTCTTTTTTATCCCCTGAGAAGTCCAATGTGACTTGTCTCATTGTCTCTCTACCCTCTCTGTGAAATCCAAACAAGGCACATTTCACATGATTTTTAATTTAAAATTTCTTAGTTTTTCCAATGTACGGACCAAATGGTGTCTTATTATATTGCATGAAAAACATTAGTAGGACACGTGTCATCTGTCAGCAAGCACCGGCCCTAAATCCGACGGTTCCCTTGCCAGAATCGTACAGAACCTCGAACGTGCGTTGGTTCACGTTGCCAATGATTCCAATGGCGTTGTCCGTCCCTGCTCCGGCGAAGGCAAGGCAGCCGTCGACCAGAACACCCGCCGGCGCAGCGAGGTCGATCGTGGCGCCGCCACTGAACGTCAGGGAGATCGTCGGCACGGTGACGTTGGCGTGTCCGGTGAAGTCGTAGCACGTGTCGAGCACGCCGCCGTTCGACGGCGGCAGGAGCCGGTACTCGGACATGGCGCTCCGGAACGCTGACCGGAGCGCCGCGTAGGCCGTCGCCGGGAGCCCCGTGATGACCGTGCCGGAGTCGATGACCATGCCGCTCGAGAACGCCGACGGCGGGATGGCGAGCGGCGCACCGCCGACGCTGATGCCGGTGAGCGTCACGATGTAGAACGTCGGCACCGAGGGGAGGCGGCGCATCGGCGTGAACGATAAGCCGCTGGCCGCCGTGCTGCTGCTGCTGTTGGGCGGCGCGCCGAGAGTGAGGAACCCGGCGCCGCCGCTCGTCGGCGGGAGGCAGTACGAGAAGGGCCCGCCGAACTGGGACGACGTCTGCGACACGAGCGACTCCGGCGCGCCGCCGAGCCCGAGGAGGCCGTCGAACTTCTCGTAGGGGCCGTGCTGGTGGTCGCCGCAGCCGAAGCCGAAGTCGGCGACGACGACGCCGGGCTTGAGCGTCAGCGTCTCCGTGCTGTACACCCCGGTGGTGGTGGCGCGGTTGCCGTACTCGATCCCGTACTCGCACAGCGCGGCGGCGCCGCCGGAGACGCCCGTGCAGCCATGGCCGTACGCGCCGGCCGCGAGCTTCCTGCACGCGTCGGAGTCGCACGGGACCGAGGCGTACGACGACGACGAGCTCGGGTCGAACAGCGGGTCCTTCTGGGCGTAGCACTCGCCGGCGCCGCACGGCTTGCACTGCACCCACGACAGGTCGCTGCCGGTGTCGATGAGGACGGTCTGCTGGACGGCCGGCGTGCCGATGCCGAGCGTGACGACGTACTCCAGCGAGTTGACGGAGTCGCCCAGGAACGTCGGGATGCTCGTGCCACCGCCGGCGGCGTCCGACAGCGCGGTGGCCGCCGTGCGGCCGCCGGTGGCCTTGGTGACGATGTAGTTCGTGCGGGCGCGGTCGCGGCGGAGCCTCTCGGCGAGAGATGGCTTGCCGCCGCTCGCCGCCGATGGCGCGCACGGCCCGTGCCGGTGCACCAAAGGCACGGAAGCGCGGTTCGGGTCGGAACTCGCTGCAAATTAGTATGTTAGTTCCAAATTAATTGAGCTGCAAAAAATTGCTGCACTGAGTAGCACGTAGTTTCAAATTTAGTAAGTTCAGAAGAGATTAAAGGGCTGTTCAGTTTGCTACCATTTCCAATCATATCAAACTTTAGCATTATCAAATTATGGTAAGATTGAAGCAATTTAAACACATCCCAAATACTCTACCATATCTTATCATGCCAAAATTCTGAGGATTTTGAAATGATTTTCTACAACGGTAAATCTAATTGGATAGGCCTCTCCAATTAGTTTTAACCAGAGACACCCACGTGCTAGGACTTAATCCATTGAGTAAGTAGGGGAAATATTCCTATCATCTATGCTTCATATAAAATTATCTCTTAAATTACTCATCCGATTTACAATCCGATTACACCGTTGTGTTCGTAATAATTAAATTTTTACAACAAGATCTCACATGATTATATTTTGATGAAAAATCACAAATTACTTTTATGATATGTCTAAATTACTTTTAGATTTCACTAAGTTACTTCTTAGACATATAAAAGTAAATTCAGTAAAGCCTAAAAGTAATTTACAATATTATAGAAGTAACTTATAACAAAAAGAAAGTAACTTTAATTAATGCCTTTTTTCATTGAATAAATTATCATATATATATAAGTTACTTTTAGATTTGATTAAAATACTTCCTATACATTCATATTGCTCTGAGGTGATTACTTTTATTATTTATTTAGTTAATTCCATAATTTGTGCTGATTAATTTAATTTCTATATAGAGCATGTTTTTATCTCTACAACGGATTTACTTCAAATGACATGCCAAAGTTACCTTCGTTTTGTTCTAAGTTACTTCTATGATATATGTAAATTACTTTTAGGTTTTACTGAATTTACTTTTATATATCTAAGAAGTAACTTAGTGAAATCTAAAAGTAATTTAGACATATCATAAAAGTAATTTTTGATTTTTCATCAAAATATAATCATGTGAAATCTTGTTGTAAATATTTAATTGTTACGAACACAACAATGCAATCGGATCGTAGATCGGATGTGTAGTTTAAGAGAAAATTATATTTAAAGTATAGGTGGATGGTGCCTCTTATAGATGGAGTAGACAAACCAGCTACCATTAGCTGGGTAGTTACGTCCTTTCTACAGACTTCTCCACATTACACTATAAAAAAGAATATTTAGCATTGTAGCAAACCAAACAATACCCACGCACTTAATTTTACCTACCAAAATTTGGCAAAGCTTGGTAATTCCAAATTTTGGCGTGGGTTAATTTTAGTATAAACCCTAAAATTGAGCTAGAAAGATGTATACCACTTGATGTAGAGCACGCTGCTTCTGGTTCGAACGAACGAGCTGGCACGACTGCAAAGTTGTTCAGATTTACTGCAAGAACGATCGAATAGTAGCTGCTGCACAAGAGGATGCACAATAGAAGATGGTAATAAGCCATGGTATTAACTGTTTTGCTTTGGTCGATCCGTTGATGAATCACATAATATAATCATGGTCAGGTTTCACTATTTATCGTGCAATGCGGTGAATGTTCTAGCTTGGAGGTATCGACGGCCAACGAAGAATCCGCGGAGAAAGCTAGACAAAATTGCCTTGTTCTACATGGACAAATCTATGTACGTACACGTTATTGTACCAGCCGTCCTTGGTAATGTGTACGTCACTGCTAGAAAACCAATTTTCCTAAGCGGCCAAAACTAATTTTTACATACGGGAGGGAGGTCCGCCTGCAACACAACGACTGTGAAAATCGATGATTTTCGTAGTCGGGGCAACGGCCCGCCTGCGAAAATGCAAAAAAACGAAAAAAAAAATCGCCGCACCGCCGCCGCCACGCGCCTCGCCGCCGCCCCCCTCCCCCGGCCGGATCTGAGAGGGGAGGGGAGGGGAGCCGCTGCCGCCGCCGTCATCGCCGCTGCCGCTGTCGTCGTCGTCGCCGCCGCTCCACGCCGTCGTCGCCGCCGCCGGCCTCCCCCCTCCCTCCTCCGGCCAGATCTGCGAGGGAGGGAGGGAGGGGAGACGCCGCCGGCCGGCCCGCGCCGCACCGCGCGCGTCGTCGCCGCCGACGTTGTCGCCGCCACCGCTCCACATCGCCCCGCATTGTCGTCGCCGCCGTCGCCCCCACCGGCCTCCCCCCTCCCTCCTCCGGCCAGATCTAGGAGGGAGGGGGCGAGGGGAGACGCCGCCGGCCGCCCTGCGCGCGTCGTCGCCGCCGCCGCAGCCGTCGCCCCCGCCGGCCTCCTCCCTCCCTCCTCCAGCCAGATCTGGAAGGGAGGGGGCGAGGGGAGACGCCGCCGGCCACGCGCCCCGCGCCGTCGGCCCCGCCGCGCCGCCGGAGATGAGAGGAGAGGAGAGTCAGTGAGGGAGAGGAGAGGAGAGGAGACTGAGTCAGTGGAGGGAGAGGGAGAGAGAGAGAGAGTTGAGTGGTGGGAGGAGAAGATAAGGGTGGGTTTTTTTTTTTTTTGGTAGGTACGATTTTTGCAGTCGGACCATATAAGGTTCGCCTGCGAAAATCTTAAGTAGTCCGCCTGCGAAAATAATTTTCGCAGGCGCCGCTTAAGTGGTCCGCCTGCGAAAATAGATTTTCGCAGGCGCCGCTTAAATGGTCGGATAGCGAACTTCCCCCGATTTATATTTTTTGTAGACGGTCATTTGGCTATAAGAGTCATGTCCGCCTGCGAAAAAAAGACCTTACGTTGAAAAAAATGCGTTTTCTAGTAGTGCGTCTAGGTTTTACCCCATCTGTTCTGCAATTGCAATTGCGATTCACCATCTTTAATCCCGGATTCTCGCTCCTGATTCGTTATCGGGGAGTAAAGGGGGCTGCGAACCGGGAAAGAAGAGGGGTTCTCCAGCAGTACGTACATGTCATGAGTGCCATCGGAAACGTCATTGATCATTTGTAAATTAAAATGCTAGATTTATATATATGTTATTAATGGTCGATCAGCTGAACACCTGAATGTACATGGGTCGACGGATATATCTGTCCTTTGGTTCTTAACGTATTACAATGTTGACATTTACATGTACGTGTTAAATTATGTAAAATATGTAAAAATATAAGTCATGCTTAAAATACCTCTAATTATAAAAAAAAATCTCAGCAGCATAAATCATAATTAAAAAATATAACACGAATATTCAAATGTACATTTAAAAGTTAACGACGTCATATTTTAAAAACATAATAAATTATATCTCTTCAACTTATAGCCCCCAATAACGATGTATAATCGTTGTCTTCTTTAGGCATATGGCACACAAAATATAGAATTGTTTCTTTCATAAATTATCTACTCTACTTATATCTTCACAGCTTTTAACATTTTGTATCCTACATATTATAAAACGAAGTTACAGGAGAACAGAGGGAGCCCATTGTAGCAGTTGGCCTAGACGCTTAGATGTTCGGCCCAGGTCAATGCTGGGCGACTGGGCTGGCCTCGTGGGCTCGTGGACCGTTCACTGGAAAGTCGTACAACGGCACAGCGTTCGGACCGTTGCTATCGCAGGCGGAATTTTTATCATTTTTAAATTTTTATTTTTTAATATTTACAGAAATATTATACCGGCGAAAATATTTACAGAAATAGCGGCAGGGTGACTTGTGTGACCAGACACTAGAGGCCTCTGAGCGGGCATGCGAATTTTGCATGCGGCGAAAATTACATTTACCTAGCACAAAATACACACACAGCGCCGTATGCCGCGTCACCTTGCCGCCCTCTATTTATGCGGCATGATAAATACTTTTGCCGGTATAATATTTCTGTAAATATTAAAAAATAAAATGAAAAGAAATTCTCGCAGGCGAGGTCTTTGCTGGGAAAAATTCAAATCCTGAACAAATTTCGGTTGAATCTGAAACACTTTAAACAAATTTTAATCAAATTTGAAGAATCCATCGAATGGATCCAAAATTTTTTGGTTGGTTAAAAAAAAATCCAAAAGAGCCCAAGGTGGGGAGATCTTCAACCATGCTACCCCTCCGTCCAAAAATATATTAACCTAATACGTGATATAACACATTTTAATATTACGAATCTGAACAGGTCGCATATCCAAATTCATAGACCTAGGATGTGCCGCATCTGGTACTATATTTTAAAACGGGGTAGTATGCAGCACCTTGCGTGGTGCAAGTATTGCTCCCTCGTAGTTATTTACTTGTCACTATTAACCATCAATTTTAACTGTCGAAGTATTCCCTTCATTCTAAATTAAACCAAATTTAGATATGAGATGAGATATTATCTAGTACTATAATAAATTTAAACGTATACTTATATAGATTTGTTATACTAGATAATGTTATCATATCTTAATAGGGATATGTCTGAATTCTTATGAACTGCATGTCGAAGTACGCTAGGACTGCTACTGCTGTAATCTTACAGTATATGGTCGGCCGTGTGCGGGTAATATCTTTGATTTGTTCTTCTCATCCGCACGTCTCTCTCTGTCTCTCTCTCAAATCACTTTCTCTGAACGTTTCAAAAAAAAAAATCAATCTCTTTTTCTCAAGAAAGTACATATTTTACTATCTTAATTATTGCTTTCTAAGATATTATCTCCCAGTCCCCAGAAAAAAAAAACAACAACAAAAAAAGTCGAAGCAAGAAGGAACAACACACATCATCTTGTCTTGCGTACAACAATAAATTGCACTATCGGATTAAGTAATACTCCCTCCATTTCACAATGCAACTCATTCTAACATTTTCCACATTTGTATTAATGTTAATAAATTTAGACATACATATCTCTATAGATTCATTAACATCAATATGAATATGAAAAATGTTACGATGACTTACATTGTCAAATAGAGAAATTACATACATAGCTACTCAATACTAGGCTTATATTGTTACACTTACGCCGGCCCTGCTGCAAAGCAAGCAAGTCAAATCTCTGCATGTGCGATGAGCCTCTCGCACTAGATATCATATACATGTAGATGTAGTCGCGGCCCAGTCACTGCCAAGTGCCAACGTGAATCAATCGTCTGCTATATTAGAAATTAGATTGACCGCACAGCAAATCTCCAAGTCAATCAACGAATCTCTTGCTAAGTCTTGTTGGATTCGCTCTCGTAGTCTCGTGTACGTTTACGGGGTAGAACTACTTCGCATGACTGACCGCGACCATTATTATTCAGCAAGGGGCAATTTCACGCTCTCAGATATACTCCATGTTATATGATGTACTCCATTCGTATTAAAATAAATCAATCTACTAAGATATATTATAGCAATATAAATCTCAATAGGTCTCATATTCTGCACTAAATTGAATTAATTTGAAATGGAGGGAACAATAATTAACTTTGTAAAGCCGCCATCCTATTCCATGTTACTTCCTGTATTTCAAAATGTTCTAATCTAACATAGGATTAGATTCATCCTATCCAGATTACTATGATATATCTAATCGTATATATCTTAGGATGTACTGTAATATTTTGGGACGAAGGGAGTATAATCTCCCATGATTGACGAGGTCAGTCTCCTGAATCATATGGGGTTCTGGATAATGTTTGGAGTTTGACTGTTGGAAGCTGTAGTTGGGAGTTGGGACTTGAGCTTGCAGCCTTGCAAACTAGGCTGAAAACGAATGATATAAAGCAACATGGGAGTTGCATATTGTGGATAGACTCGCGACTGGAATCCAACAAGTCTGCAACTGCCCCTTTGAGTCTCTGTCTCTGCGAATAAGTCCTTTTAAGAAAAAAAAATAATAATATCATTACTACTGTAAAACAACATGGGAGTTGCAGAAGATAGCATTCAGACCTCAGAAAAAGGGTTGATGAAAAACGGAATGTCGATGAAACTGTAAAACAACATGTGTAAATTCAATATGGGAGTTTGCGCAAAAAATATGTCTTTGGTATGCTAATTAATTAGAGGCCCTCATATAAGTCTCCTTATTAATTCTAGAAAAATAAAGATAGCAATTCTCACATTAATTAAGGAATAAGAAATGACCACACTAGCCTATTAAGGGAGAAACATCTTGACGTTGATATATAACTCAGATTTACATGCATAAATTCAAGCCTCTTCATTCCTGATCGATAAGAGTAGTTTTACCATTTTTGAAAACATACTAAGAGGTGTCACATTTTTTTAGTTTTAATTTGTGTATATTCTAGTACCTCAACACTCATGTACTAAGTACATACCAATATTTATATTATAAATATGATATATCTCAATATCTTCTTAAAGAATATATTAAAAAATTTCTATCCATAATCGCAATATTGCAATGACCGGGTCCAATGCAGTTACTATCCTCTGTTTCTTTGATGCATACATGCATGCATGGACTGATTCCACTATAACCTTAAAAGGCTTATAGGGACATGCATGCCTCATTAATTTAGAGTCTAAATCAACTATGTATGCTGTAATCTACAAGTTGCAGATCACACTGTAA